ATAGTGGGATGGGTCTACTTCTGTAAGAAATGGTAGGATATTCCCTCATCCTCCACACTTTCATCATAAACAAAACTATGAGAATTCTGCAATGGAGGAGTGCCTATGGACAGGGAAATCAAGATGATCCTTTGGATACGAGAGAAAGTATTAGAGCCTTTGTTCAATTTAATTTTTTGGCTCATCCTTTCAAATTTTCTATCTTTGCATATATGTTACAATATGCATCACATATTAGTATATTGGCAAATGTATATTATCTAGCCATTCTCTCTGTTCCCGTCTGTCCTTCCCTCTCCCTCCCTCCACTACATCTGTCACTTCTCTAACCATCCTTCTCTCAGGAGGTACACTGAGCAGCTTCTTTAGAAGTGCACAGTCCGGATAGAGTCCCTGCCCCCTCCAGCAGGTTTGCAAGGGAGAGCTAAGAAACTGTAGTTATCTCACCAATTTATTTTCACTAAATAATCTTTTCTTCAGGGTAACTGTACACTAAATACTAACCTGAAAAGAAGTGAAGATGGGCTGCTCCTTTGCAGGAGGGCTGGATGCTGGGGGTAGGGGATGGGCCAGCCCTCTAGGCTCCCCTTTCTCTGCTCAGCCCCCCTTGGTCAGTATGAACTCCTGTTTGAAAACCACTATGGTAGCTCCAAACGATGCATTTTTTGGAGATTAACAGATTCATTGCTTGAAACCAGACCAAACTCCCTTCTTAGATTAGGTCTTATAGATGTTTCCCACTAGCTGGGTCCCTCCTGCCTCTTCTTCATGCCATGTGCTGAACACAGCCTCACAGCCCAGGCTACCAGAGGGAGCTGTAGCTGCTCAGGCCTGACACTTAGAAGAGACTCCTTCCTCCTCCTGGGGAAGTCGTCTCCTGCTTCATTTTCTTCAGCACCGTTTGCTTTCCCACCGAGAATGGTCAATGCTCATGACTGTGTGTATTTCAGATCATAACCAGACTCCTGTGGCAACCATTTCTCTAATCTTATTTTAGATTTGCTATTAGTTCCCTCTACAGAAGGAGACGCTGCTTAAATTAAATGCAACCCATGTCCTAGGGGTACCTTTCCCCTTAGACAGTTGCAACTATGTTTCCATGTGGTCATGGTTTTCTATCTGGTTAAGAGGTGGCCTATTTCCCAAGGGCACTTCACATTGCCACTAACAGGGTTATGTGATCCCAGCGAACAACATTAAGGGCAAAGCTTACCATGTAGAATTAAGAGAAAAAGTGGGGTGTGGCCGATGAGATACATGGCTCAGATCCCCCTTCAATAAAGGACTCCCTGCTCAGCTGTTGTCTACCCCTGTTAACAACTCCAGGCCCCACACACTCTGCTCAGAATGGTCCCAGTCAATGACTGAGCACAGCCATGGAATAGGGACCTTTACCACTTCTGTCTGATGAGCATTCAGCTCCCACACGCAACCCTGTTGGGCCATCAAAGACTGTGTCCTCATTGCACAGCTCCCCCATACACAGTCCTGCTCCTTCCTCCCATTTTTTCCCACAGGTGTTTCTTTCCCCCAAACTTTATGTACTGCTAATTCTGTTTAAGCATCTGCTTCCCAGGCAGCAAGGTGGGGGGTAGGGGGGACAAGAACCCATTAGAGGTTTCAGTGTGCTTCTAGATTCCTTCAGTTCACGTTTCTAGCCTGTGAGTATGAGTAGCTCCTAGGAACCTTGGAGTTACTGCAAGAGGTCTGCAAATATACATCCATGCCCAGCGTTGCCTGAAACCCGAATGCATAATATGTCTAAATAGGACCAATATGTGCTATTTTTCAAACGGAATGACAATCACTGAAACAGTTTTTTATAGGTGAATTTTTAGATCGGTGGGCACTGATAGTGTAAACACACACACACACACACACACACACACACACACCAGACACACACAGATCCAGGGGCTGTTTTTGCTTTGAAGAGATGTTCTCAAGTGAAAAGGCCTGCAAGCCACTGTTTTGGATGATGTGGCTTTATCTTCTTCATACGTTAAATGGGAATTTTCCCAAAGAGAAAGCAAACAAACAATAACAGAAAATCTGCCTGATTCTCACATCAAGTAGCTGTGTTTGATAAATATTGATAACTGAGAAGTGCTTGAATGACCAATTCTGGAGGATAATGAGATGTTATGAGTCCTGAGTACAATTTCAAACCTCCTAGCAGGGTGTGGTGGCCCATGCCTGTAATCCCAGCAGCTCAGGAGGCTGAGGCAGTAGGATCAGGAGTTCAAAGCCAGCCTCAATAACTTATCGAGGCACTAAGCAACTTAGCAAGGCACTGTCTCTAAATAAAATATAAGAAAAAGACTGGGAATGTGGCTCAGTGGCTAAGCGCCCCTGGGTTCAATCCCCGATATCAAAAAACAAAAACAAAACAAAAAACCTCCTAAAACTTGTGCTTAGTAGACTGAGGCTTCTGTTCACAGATGAGTAGGTAAAAAGTGGCTCAGGTTCAACATCCCCATTGGATTTAAGACAAATTGCTTTGCCTTGGCATACAATAGTTACCTTTGGGAGTAGGTCCCCTACAATTTTGGATTGCCACTTATGTAGATTCTTATACTCAAAGGAGACCAACGACCTTTTCCCACAGAGGAAACTGAGACTCATCCTTAGGGAGTATAACAACCTGGTCAAAGTCACTTAGCTAATAAGCCACACATGTTTCTCTTAACAGTCGATAGGAATCAAACTATGGATGTGATTTCAGGTGTTCAAAAGTTACTAGCTGTATCTATCAGATATGCCAGATTGTGTTTCTATACACACACACACACACACACAAAATCACAAACACATTAGTGGATTATCACAAAGGACTTTATTACCATTTCACCCAAAGCCCTTTGTAGGTCTGGATGATTCTCTAGGACACCTGCCCTTCACAGGGTACCTCAGGGATCCAGGTTTCTTAATCTTATGACACTTCCATTTCAACAAATGACTCCACCTGTCAAAATAGAGGGGAGCATACTGGAGGGTCACTCAACGGCAGTTAAATGCCAAGGTTTGCAGGTGATGCCCAGGCTACAGTCATGTGACCTTTCTAAGAGGAGAGGAGAATGGGATAAAAGTAAGCATTAAACACTCAATAGCCTCCCAGAGGGCCAAAAAAATTCCATTAGAAATGTTAGGGCAAATTGCAAAAGTCCTCTGAGAGTGTTAAGTTATTAAGACATTGTTGCTAAATAGTATATAAATTGTGAATTAATTGACTGATTTTAGTTTAGTTACTAATACTTAGAAGGAGTGAACAGTTAGGGGGAAAAATATACTTTAAAGTACCTTCTCTAATAAAATGAAGCCAACCCAGAGACTTGGTCAGGCCAGACAGTTGTGGGAGCCACTTTCAGGGCCTCAGCTCTGGAGATGGATGGTTGAGGGTAGTGAGTGAACTTTCCAAGGGAAGAATATGCTGAAAGAGGTGGAGGCTGCCCTTGACCATGGCCCTTGGATCCATCATTTCACCTTACGCTGCCCATGAACAAAGCACGTTTGAAATGTCTGTGGGTCTCATTTGAATGGTGGCAAGTTTTATCAAACCTTTGATCTTATGTCAATCTTCAATCTGCCTTCCCTCCCCAGACCCCAGCCCTCCTTTGAAAATAAGTTGGCAGCCTAGACTGGGTACCTGCAGCGCTGTGGAGGCTAAGATCAGAGATACCCACTGCAGAAGGAAGTCAAGTGTGAGGTTAGCATGAATTGAATTATCAGACCCTCGACATTTTCCAGACTACTGCTTCCGTTGGCCTGGCACACCCTGGTGAGATCACCCGTCAAGTCGGGGCACTTTGTTAGTATCTTAGGGCTGAGCGCTTACCCAGGTCCTTTAGACCATCTGGGCCTATGAGCTGGACTTTGGACACCCTTTTCTTTTAATTCTTCCACCTTTTCACTCTGAGCTGAAAATATTAGTGAAGAGCTGGTTTTACTTCTAGTGGATAAGAGATAGTTACCCTCAGATTAAGAAGTATTTACCAGAAGGGAATTAGGTGAGAACAGAACAAGGAATAAGGGTCTTGTCGACTTACTCTGATGGAGTCTTTCTTCAAAATGGGTTAACAAAGACGAGTTCACAAGCCCAGTGTATCCGATCTTTAGGGTCAGAGTACCTAATCTCTGAGCTTCCGTTTCTTCAATTTTGAAATATGGGCAATTGTATCTACTTCAATAAATTTGAAGCACATAATTTGAAGGGAACATGCAATAAATATTAAGTATTTTGCTTTTATCGTTCTCTGAAGAGATTCTTGGGGAGATGTCTGATAATTTCTTTTTTTTTTCACATTTTTATTTATTTATTTTTTTATTTGTCCTAATTAGTCATACATGACAGTACAATGCATTTGGAGATATCAGACATAAATGGAATATAACTTCTCATTCTTCTGGTTGTACATGATGTAGAATTATACCAGTTATGTAATAGTTTATACACATAGGGTAATAATGTCTGATTCATTCCACTGTCCTTTCCACCACCAAACCCCCCTCCCCTTTCTTCACTATCCTCTGTCTAATCCAAAGTATTTAGATAATCTATTTTAAATAGATTTAGATAATCTATTTTTCCCTAACCACCACCCCCCTTATTGTGAATTAGCATCTGCATATTAAAGAAAACATTGGGCCTTTGGTTCTCTGGGATCAGCTTATTTTACTTAGCGTGATATTCTCCAGCTCCATCCATTTACCGGCAAATGCCATAATTTCAATCTTCTTTAAGGATGAGTAACATTCCATTGTGTATATATACCACATTTTCTTTATTCATTCATCTGTTGATGATGATTTCAATCTATGACGACCAGTGTTATTTTCAGTAATAACACTACAAGTCTTAACACTCTAATACTGAAGTGTACTGTTTCTGTACCAATAAATGGGACTAATGTCACTGGCCCTTAATATTGCTGGATTATGATATGCATCAAATGGAATAGGAGAGTCCTTGAAAAATAAATTTGCATTATGGACACATGAGATATTATTCATTGCCTTAATATATTTGGGATGCTGTAACAAATACCATAGACCAAATGGCTTACAAACAACAGAAAGGTATTTCTCTTGGTCCTAGAGACTGGAAAGTCCCAGATCAAGGTGTCTACAGATTCAGTGTCTGGTGAGGGCGGCCTTCTCACAGATGGCTCCTTCTCACTGTGTCTTCATGTGGCAGATGGGACAGGGCAGTGCTGGGGCCTTTTCTTTATAATGGCACTGATCACCTCCCCCTGGCTCCTAGGACCATTGCCTTGGGAACAGAGTTCTTCCATGTGAATCTGGGGAGAACACAAACATGGCGTCCATACTGCCTAAGTCTCAGCAGTAAGGTCGTGGTGGCAGTAGTGCCAATGCCATCCTCTCCGCATTCACACCGCTGCTGTCTGTGTGTGACTGGGATAAGGAGCCATGTTGACTGGGGGTGGGGTGGGAGCCAGCTCTTAGGGAGCTGTATTTGACAGAACATGGGGATAATGCAAACGTTGCTCTATGACACCTCATACTTCCATCATGGAGTCAGATTCTTCTGTCAGGAGTTGTCGATGTCCGAGGGGTCATTCTGGAGCCTGGTTTCCAAGTCAAGAGCCATGAGAAAAGTCAGGACCCATACTCTATCCACTAAGATGATGGGGAGTTCTTGGCTCTCTCTTCTGTCTGAGGGGTTCCCCTTGGGCAGGAGTTATTTATTTGCTTCTGGCTAAGAAATATTATGAAGCTTGCATTCATGGAAAAGGGAAGGAAAAAAAAAATCACCCACTTTCATCAAACCGAGCATGTCATGGTTCCTGTTTGAGGAGGAAAATGCCATTTTCTCTTAGTTGAAAATATCTGAGGCTAGCACTTCTGTCCAGAGCTGTCAGAGATTTGTATATGTAATGAAGTATGTTTTGAGTCTCATTTTAGGCACAGTTCTCTGGTTTCAAGCAAAAGAAAACAATATTCGCTAATTTAAGCAAATAAATAATTAAATTAAATTCACACACCCCGTCCCCCGCCAAACACACACATCATACCCCACACACATACATATTAGAAGGCTACAAGGTAGCTCACAGAATCAAACAAAAAGCTAAAGGATCTGACTTTAGGGCCCCTAGGTAGGAGACACCAACGGATCACTCACTGGGTAAGGCTCTCTTGTGTCACTTCGCGTGGCATTCCCTTCCCTGGGAAATGTTAACTGGCAGAAGGTGAGAGCCTTGCTTCAGAGGCCCATGTAGGCCAAGAGATCAGCAGCTCTCCAGCGAATTCCAAGGTTCTGTTAGCTGAAGGGGAAACAGGTGGCTGAGCAGGTCATAGTAGCAGCTGTCTGCCACAGTCCCTGGGAGTTATCCTCAACCTTGTTGCTATAATTAGCTCCCCAAGGCTACCTGGGTTTACGTTTATTCAAATAATCTCAGCATGTTTCTGTTTACAGCATGTTCAATAACATTAAGCCACGTAAAAGGAGGATTGTTGGTCTCTGGTTTTCTTTCTGGTCTACCTGGAGAAGAGCTGTTGGCCCTCCCGGAAGAGCTCTGGTCACTCCACCTTTCCTTTTCCTTAAATGCTCCCTGCACAGGATCCTGGGGCTTTGGATCCTGAGGTCCTCATTACCCAGCCCAGGACTTGCTTAGACAGTAAACTAAAAATAAGTGTCCCCAGGACTGTTCGTATTGGCAGTGACAGTTGGGCTGTCGCCTCACCACAAAGACACTTGTCATTTGGGGGTTTGGAAAAGGGAAACATTTAAGTGCTAGTTTATCAGCCCAAAGAAGCTACAACAGCAACAAAAAACAGAGCAGCACCCCACCCACAGACTTCCGGTCAGAGCATAGTCCCACAGGGAAAGTTGAGCAAGCAACAAAAGGAAGGCACCCGCTGAGTGGTTCTTTATTTACACCTTTGCGAGGGCAGGGCGGAAGGTGTGGGCCCACAGCCGCTGTCTTTTTAAAGTTCCCAGGGAAACTTTAAAAAAGAATAATGGTGGGGTTTATGTTTTTATGTTTTATTTATTTTATTTGATTTGGTGGTGCTGGGGAGCAAACCCAGGGCCTAACATGCTCACATGCTCACCACTGAGTTACATCTCCAGCCCAAGAACTCTGGATTTTTGACTTCTCAGTATTGAGGGCTGTACGCAGGGATTCAGGCATGGTAAACAAGCACTGTGTCACTGAGCTACATCCCCAGCCATAACTGTATTCATTTAAAAAAAAAAATGTTAGAATATTTACAAAACAAAGAGGAACAAAAAAAAATCCTGCAATGATAAACGATATTAATATTTTGGTGTGTTTCCAATTCATTGATTCACTTCACTGTCCTTTCTACCCTGTAGAAAGGATGTTAGATCAGGAAGAAGAGCTTAGGGATGGATCAATAGCATGGTGCCATAGATCAAGAAAGAGGTCCTGTCTGGTCCCAGGATTCTCGTCTGTCTCAATCAGGAATGATTCCTGAACTAAGGTAAGCTTCAAGAGGGCAGCACATAGGGTGTCACATTCTAGTGCACGTCAATTGTAGGCCGTCTGTATACACTTACTCTTATAGCATCCTGGTTTCCCTGGGTTTTAACATTTTTTTTTTTTTTTTTGCTACTGTTATTTTAATGGCATCATGATATTCCCATCAAATGTCTGTTTTTGGGTGTTGTGACCCAGGCCCCTGGCATTGTCCTTGAAATATTGTAATGATGCTGTGATGGTATCTCTGTGCACACATCAGGGCACCTTTTGTGGAAGAAGAGTCCAGCCTTGAACCCTGTGGAGTGGGAGACCTGTGGCTGTCCCCTGCCTCTCTGTGAAAAGGCATATCTTAAAGGGACACCATCTAATGATCCAGATCACAGGTTTTGGACCCAGTGATCTTTCCTCTTCTTCTTTTTACGTCTGTGGAAGCTATTCCCTATCTTGTTAGTAAGGAGATTAGAAAATTAAAAGGAGGACAAACTATTTTAGGTACTTGTTGCTAATTTATAGGAAAAAAAATCTTAAAGGGGCAAAACCATTTAGGAAAATCTATCAGACAGGTCTAGACACTGCTTTTAAAAATGTGTATTATGGTGGGTGCAGTGGTGTGTGCCTGTAACCCCAGCCCCATGACGCATTTTGGAAGCAGAATGAGAGGAATTGGCAAATTGCAAACCAGAGATGGCAAAAGGAAGAAATAAAAGGCCAAAGTCCTGGGTTATTGATCCCGGCACCTGAGGTGAGGGTGGTGGCCTGTTCTAAGATGAGAAAATCTGGGGGAGTAACTGACTCACGGGTGAGGAAATGGAAGCTTCTATTCTTACTTTGCCATTTGCCAAACTGACGCTCGGACCAAAAATAAAGAACACAAAAAACCAGAAGCTTTGACCTTCCTTTAAGTCAATTTTGTGTAGTAAAAAGAGACGAAGTACTGGGTTCAGATGGAACTGGGACCTCTGTTTTGGAGTTGTGTGACTTAATGAATTATGTAGCCACCTGATGCTTCCATTTGCTAACCTCTAAAAATGCTCACTCCTGCCTGCCCCACCCTGTTGTTGATAAAATGCAATTCCAGCACATTCTCTGGCCCATAGTAATTCTTTTTCCGAAATGTTAGTTGCAATTCTCTGAAAGAATCTGCATGAGACAGAGCTGTTACATGCACTAAATTCTTGCTTGTGGGGGTCCTGAGTGACGGGATCGGATATGATTAAGGCAGTTGTGCCCCTCTATACATGTCACTTGCACACCAAATATTTCATTTCTTTACCTGAAGGTTTCTGTCCTTTGGAATCAAGGGCCTTGAGAACAATAAAAGTTTCAGGCATATTTGTCAATAATGGAAAGTCATCTTCATGTGACAATGGAGAACATGGATTCTGGAGTCAACCTCATGCTTGTATCTCACCTCTGTCACTTACGAGCTGTGGGACCTCGGGCAAGTTACCTGATTGCTCTGTGCCTAAGTTCCTTCATCTGAGAAGTTGAGGCCCTAATAATTCCTAACTCTCGGATCAATTGTGAGTTTTAATGGAGTTCCTATGTATAAACTCACAAGACAATGCCTAACAAATGGTAAGCACTATATAAACATATGTTAAGTAAAACATGAATAATTAAGGCGCTAGACAATAGGTGATTTTGATGTTCTTGAAAGGCAAGGCTGAAGAGGAGAGGGAGAGCTGAGGAGGCACTGGGCCTCTGGAAGAGGTGGAAACAAGGTTAAGACGCTATGGGCAATCACGGGGGACTGAAGACAACTTTCCTACTTCTCAGTTTTGTTTTGAAGAATGAGAATTGCAGAATGACTGAGGTCACAAACATTAAAGCCAAGTTTCTCCCTCTTAGAGGCAGATTTTAATCCAAGTTGGGTTCAGACAAGACAACATACAGAATCTCTGCAGGTGACGATCCCGAGAAGCCTGGTGAAGGCGTCGCCTACCTCCTGGTTTGTCCCACGTGTGTGGTTCCCATGGCCGATCAAGGTCGCAGCCTGAATCCTGTCACACACCACTCAGAAGCCCCAGGGATGCTTCATCTTTTCTGATATTGTTTAAAACTGAGTAGGAAGTCCAGCAAGTATATGGTTTCCTTTCTTGTCATTCTAGAGGGAAAAACGTGGTGGGCTATTTTATTTGGATGGCAGTTGTCTTTTATCACTAATGTCACTCCCTATCCCAGCACACAGAATATCAGTGTTTTACAAAGTGAAGGAAGAAGAAATTCTGTTAAAGAATCACAAACACCTGAACCTCTAGCTGAATCTAAATAATACTCCTCAACTTTTCCAAATGGGACAAGTAGTGGACAAACTAGGCCATTTCTGTGTTCCCGGTGGTATGTAAAATGATACAGCCACCACGGAAAACAATGTGTGGCTTTTAAAAAAATATATACAACGACTACACACTGGCAATTGCTCTCTTGGCCATTTATCCCAGAAAAAGGGAAATCTATGTTCATACACAAACCTGTACATGAATTTTTAGCAGCTTTAATCTCAAGAGCTCCAAATTGTAAGCAATTCAGGTGTCCTTCCATGAATGAATGAATGGCTAGGCAAATGGTGGCACATCCAAACTATGGTGCCGTGACCTGCAAGGCCATTAATTCAGGTAACTGAACCGGGTGGTGAGAGGGTGAAGAAAAGACAGACAGACACACAAATAGAGAAAAAGACGGGTCCTAGTGGTTCACTAACAACCCTGGTAGGAAAGCAGTGACTATGAATTATTATATAGGTTTTAACATTAAAAGGATTTATCGTGAGGAAGTTTCTTCAAGATAAACAGAACCGAGGAGTATGAGGGTATAAATAGCTCAATTCAAAATATCAGATTTCACCCATAATTCTCTACCCTGGGGGCAGCTGGCATTTGAACTGATAATTCTGGGTCTGGCACAGAACCTCCTTTTGTTGTGTTTTGTTTTGGGTACCAGGATTGAACTCAGGGGCACTCGACCACTGAGCCACATCCCCAGCCCTATTTTGATTTTATTTAGAGACAGGGTCTCACTGAGTTGCTTAATGCCTCACTAAATTGCTGGGGCTGGCTTTGAACTAGCGATCCTCCTGCCTCAGCCTCCTCCACCGCTGGGATTACAGGCTTGCACCACTGCACCCAGCCAGAACCTCCTTTGGAACAGGGTGTCACCTCAGCAACTGGGGGGTCTCAAATTGATGTCTTCGTGCTGAGAGTTCCCAGAAGGGGCATTGCTTCTATGACTGGACAGCTCAAAGACCATAATGCATTCACCACTCCCGACACTGTGAAATGTTATTGTGCAAGAAAAAGAATAATGTTGATACAACCTGGATACATTTCCAGACAATTGTGCTGAGGGAAAGGCAAATCTTAAAAGGCTATGCCATATTCTATAAATAAGAATATAATAGAAATAGAGAGCAGGTTAGAGGTTTCCAGAGATTGAGGTGGTGGGTGCAGGAGAGAAGAAACTGTGGCCATAAAAAAAGTAACATGGAGAATCCCAAAGTGATGGAAAATACTGTACCTTGACTGTGTCAATGCCAACATCCTGGTTGTGATATTGGATCATAGTGTTTTGTTGGTGATGGTGGTTTGTTTTGTTTTGTTTTAAAATAAGATTTACCACTGGGAAAACGGGCATCCAGTTCTTACAACTAAATTTTTCTATACCGTTTCTTAAAACTGGGTGTGAATCTATAATTATCTCAAGATAAAAGTTTAACTTAAAAAAATGGGGCAGGAGAAATGCTATTAACTGATCCCTAACCTCATCCTAAACTTCAGCAGGATCTAAATAAAACCCTTCAATTTTCCCATATTTTCTGTACTAAAATAATTTTTATTTGTAGAAAGACCCAATCAGATGCAAAGTTAAACAGAAGGATCCATTTCTTGCCACACAGATAATTCTTCTATCTACTTATGGTCCTTCATTCATTCAACACACACTTTGAAGCCCCTCCTGTACCAGGAGCTGTGGCTATAGGGAGACAGGTAACGGATTTCAGTACCTGAATGGAGTGTTCGTTACAGAGGGGACACACATAACAAGCTGATTTCTGGGAGATAATATGGATCCAGGAAGTCCTTCATCTTCCTTTCTCCTAGGTATCACTCCAAGGTACAATATCTTCAAGAAGGTTCCAGAGAAGTCCTGCACACTTAGTGAACCCAATTTCTGAGTGTCCTGCTGGGTCTCTTGGCTGCTGCCTGAAGAGTCAGGCAGGATGATAATGTAGCTCACCGCATTATGTCTCATCCTCTCTTGCCTCCCTCTCCCAGTACCTTGGACTTGCATCTCCCACTTAAAGTGTATATTAATGCTTGCCTCAGGCTCTGTTTTAGAAAGAATCCAATAAGCATGACAGGAAATAGAGAGGTGAAGTGAGAAGTTAAATGTCTAGAACTCAGGTGAGAAATCAGGATCAAAACTATTAACTTGGTAAACATCTGAAGATATATAGTATTGAAGACCATGGGTCTGGGAGCTGGAGGTGTAGAAACTGTATGGATGGAAATATGGACCAAGGAACGAATCTAGGGTGCTCTAATGTCTCATTTTCAAGTGTGTGTGTTGAGGGGTGTTGAGAGCCACAGCCGAAGGGGCCCCAGCAAACTTCCAGCTGCCAGCAAACTTCCAGCTGCCGGTCACAGTGGCCCCAGCAACATTTAGCTGATTGGCTCCTCTGCGGTGATGCTCATTGGAGATGCTCATTGAGCTGTTTCCCCGCCCTTTCAGACTGCCAGCTGATGATTGGCTCACAGCGGCCCCAGCAACATCTAGCTGATTGGCTCCTCTGCGGTGATGCTCATTGGGCTGTTTCCCTGCCCTTTCAGACCACGGAGCTGCTCATTGGGGGACTTTTTTGGCTCCGCCCACGCGACCCAGCCAATCGGCCTCAAGAGCAGGAGGATGGGGGGAGGTGGAGAGGCTTATGGTTGAGAGAGAGGCTTGTGAGAAGCCGGTGGTGGCAGTTGGGGCTCTGAGGGTTTTTCCTGAGGAGCTGTTTTGTTTGGCGTGTGTGGTTCTAAAAATAAAGTTAGTTTCTTTTGACAAGTGGCTCCTGATTGTGCCCAGCCAGACTGTGGCATTTGGTGGCTCGCACGGGGAGCAACTGAGGGTAAGTGAATTGCTCGCCCCTGAGGGCAGGGCGAGAGGATGGGTAGCCATTTTAAGATTCCTCTTTTGTTTTGCTTCACTTTTGTTTTAAGTTGCCTGTCCCTGGAGATGAGTGAGACGGAAGAAAAACCGCTCACATCTGAGGAAAAACTATTTGCATCTGAGGAACAGATAGGGAGAAAGGCTATAATGATTTTTTGTTGTTCCATTTTTATTTCATTCTGTCTCGGTTTTGTTTGGTGTTATCTTGTTGGGTTGTATTATAGTAGAAATATGGGATCAGAAATTAGTAAAAAGCAAACCGAAAGAGTGTTAAGTAAATTGTTAGAGGAAGGAGGCATCCCAGTAAAATCAAGATCAGTCAGGGCATATGTTGATACAATACAAAAATGTAGCCCATGGCTTTTTAAGGAGGAGTTGTTAAATATATCACAATGGAACCATCATGGTGAAGATTTAAAAAGAATAGAAAAGAAAAGCCCAGGGACGCTGCCAGTTGGCACATTGCCATTGTGGACGTTGGTATCTTGTTTGCTTAGTCCAAAGCCTTCAGTTCAGACAATGGTAGAGGAAGGAGAAGACATATTGATTCAAGTAAAAGAGAAGGTCTCTCAAGCTAGTCAGACAGAGGGAAAAATTCAAGTAAAAGAGAAGGCCTCTCAAGCTACTCAGACAGAGGAAAAAATTCAAGTAAAAGAGAAGGTCTCTCGAACTAGTCAGACAGAGGAAAAAATTCAAGTAAAAGAGAAGGCCTCTCAAGCTAGTCAGACAGAGAAAGAAAGTGTAAAACAGAAAAAGCCATCAGGGGGAAAGTTACAACAGGAGACTGCTACTAACACCTTTCTATCACCAGAGGGTGTAAGTGTCCAAGCAACAGCGCCACCTCCATATGCTGGGAGGCCTCCAACCCCTATAGTTAATAGATGGGATCCTGAGACAGGACCTCAAAGATCAGCATGCTCTGTATTTGAACAGTCAGGAGGGCAGCGAATTCACCACGTTTTAGATTTCAAAACAGTGAAGCAGCTAAAAGAGGCTGTAACAACCTATGGTCCTCAAGCACCCTTCACTGTAAGCATGGTCGAATCCATTAACAACTTGAACATGACGCCAGCAGATTGGGCTAATATGTGTAAAGCTGTGCTAAATGGAGGACAATACCTGTTATGGAAGGTTGCCAATGAGGAATTTTGCAAGGAGACGGCTAGGCGAAATGCAGCAGCTGGTTATCCTCAGAGAAATCTAGATATGTTGTTAGGAAAGGGACCTTATGAGGATCAGCAGCAACAAATTGCATATGATCCTGGCGTATACGCACAAATTGCTGTAGATGCAGTTAGGGCATGGAAGACTTTACAAGGACATGGAGGTTTACAAGGTCAATTATCTAAGGTAATACAAGGAGCTAATGAACCTTATGCTGAATTTGTAGATAGGCTTATTCAAACAGCTACCAGAGTTTTGGGGAATACAGAACAAGCAATGCCATTAATAAAACAACTGGCTTATGAGCAAGCAAATCGTTGGTGCAGAGAGGTCATTAGACCATGGAAACATGAAGATTTAAACACATATATTAAATTATGTAGAGATATTAATGAACAGGGGCAAGTCTTGGCAGCTGCAGTACAACAGGTTTTAGATGCCAGGCCAAAAACATGCTATAATTGTGAACAAACAGGACATTTTAAAAGGAATTGCCCCCATAGAAGGAGGGTTTAACAATACTAGGTATCAAAGGGGTAGAATACCGGGTATTTGCCCACGATGCCGTAGAGGGAGAACAGCAGCCAATTTGGATTCCAGAGAGATTAACTAAGGTCCTGACCCAGTGATTGTCTGGAGTCGGGGGTCTGTTTGTGTGTTTCCACAGGGAGAACAGCAGCCGATTTGGATTCCAGAGAGATTAACTAAAGCGATTTCTACAGACCAAAAAGAAGGTGATTTGGCTCAAATCCATAACAGCTGATATCCAAAATTCCAGTTTGGCTATCCTTACATCTGCGACAGAACCAGGATGCCTTTTTCAATATCTATTTTATTATTACCCTTCCCCACATCATGAAGTTCTATTTTGTTTTTTGAGCTCATACAGACCTAGGTTAATGTTTTACTGATCAGTTCTATTTTTTGACTACAGAGTTTTTGAACATTGCAATGGAGATTTCACCTGTAAAAAGTTATAAGGCCTTTAATATTATGTTATGTGTTGTATGTATTATATTATGTGTGCATACTTGTGTTTTGTGTTGTATGTTTGTATGTACGTATGTCCATATATCATATATGATGAGTGCTCATGAAAAAATGGATCCAAATATTGTTTTTTTTATTCACATGATTTAAATGGTTTAATTTAAATTGGGTAAACAGCTGTTGAGGATTGTTTTAATATGTGAACAAAAAAGGAGGTTAACAGATCTGTTTGTTTACTTTCACCTTTCCTTTTCATTATATTTAATAATTCTGTTCAAGATAATGTAAATTGTTCAGAAAATTGTTTTCTTTTAGTGCCTTCTGGAATGTTACATAATTTTTTCTTTAGCCATTATTGCCAGAATTCCTATCTTCATCCCAGTGCTGGTGAAGACAAAGATAAAACCAATCTACAGCTTCTGCAATAGCCATCACTGAACTGCTTGCAGAACTTGCCTGGACACATTATGAACTCACCTGTATGCATTGTGAACTATCTGTTGGTGCAGCGACTTGTGGTAGTGTTGGGGTATTTTTGCTGATGATGTCATCGGTGGTACAATTTTTCCAAAAGGAGCCGTCAATTGGCTTGGTGTATCTTCCTCCCTTCTGCTTGTCATGATCGTTCAGCAAAGAACCTCACCCCCCCGCTGGTACAAAGACCTCTCCACAGGTGTGGCTGTATACTGGACCGGTAGTCAGTGACGGGTAAGATCCAATTGCAATGGTACCAACCTAATGGGTAAGGACCATATGTACTATTGGACAACCTAAGGCAGGCACGGTCCCTAAGCCACATGCTTGTTGTTTAAACAGAGAGGGGGAGATGTTGAGAGCCACAGCCGAAGGGGCCCCAGCAAACTTCCAGCTGCCAGCAAACTTCCAGCTGCCGGCTCACAGCGGCCCCAGCAACATCTAGCTGATTGGCTCCTCTGCAGTGATGCTCATTGGGCTGTTTCCCTGCCCTTTCAGACCACAGAGCTGCTCATTGGGGGACTTTTTTGGCTCTGCTCACACGACCCAGCCAATCAGCCTCAAGAGCAAGAGGATTGTGGGAGGTGGGGAGAAGCTTGTGTGGGAGAGAGAGGCTTGTGGGAAGCCGGTGGTGGCAGTTGGGGCTCTGAGGGTTTTTCCTGAGGAGCTGTTTTGTTTGGCGTGTGTGGTTCTAAAAATAAAGTTAGTTTCTTTTGACAAGTGGCTCCTGATTGTACCCAGCCAGACTGCGGCAGAGGGAGCTGGACACAGCAAAGGGGAATTGAGAAAGAATAGTCATCAAGGTAGAAGAAAAGTTGAGGGGGTGTGATCATAGGGGAAAAAGAAGGAGAGAGAGTCCCAAAACAGATGGGGACATGACAGGGGTGTCAAAGTATGGGGGGGAGAGAGAGACCCCAAAAAGTCTATACTTGAGATATTAACTTAAGAGGAAGAAAGATTTATTTTGGTTCACAGTTTCAGGTTTGGGTTCACAGTCACTTGGCTTTGTCACTTGGGACCTGTGGCAAAGCAAAACATCATGGTGTAGGGGCACACAATAGAGAGCAAAGCTGCTCACCTCATGGCAACTGGAAACCAAAGAGAGATAGGAAACAGTGGGGTCCCCAATATCCCCTTCAGGGGCACACCCTGATGACCTCACTTCCTTCCACTAGGTCCCACCTCCCAAAGGGTCCAGAGCCCTCAATAGTGCCACAGTGTGGACAAAGCCTTTAACTTCTGATATTTCCCATGTGAGCCTTTGGGAGACACTTGGATCCAGACTTTAACAGTTGCCAACATGGAAGTCGTGGGTGGCCTGGGTAAGTGCAGTGTCATTGAGGAAGAAAGACCAGAGTGGTGGAGGAGGGAAAAGGAAATGAGGAAGTGGAAAGAGCTAACATCATAGACAAGTCTTTGAGGAAATTCTGTTTAAATTCTGGACTCAGGAAGGAAGTAAATGAGGAAGCTGCGGGGCTGTCTGCTAGGTGCTGCAACCGTGAAACACGTATAGGAGATTCAAAGTGTCACGGAGTCCAGAGAGCTGAGGTCTAATGCTTTCTCTTCCACTAACCAGCGGAGAGGGCCCTGAGTAAGTCATTTCCCTCTGTTATCATTCATCCTCATTTGTCAAATCAAATGTCCCTCAGGTCCCTTCTAGCTCAGAAAAGTTATGTTCTGTGGAGACTCTGAAGTTAAAAGAAGAAAAAAATGAAAGGGGAAATTAGGGTTCCGACCTTAAAAGGTTAGAAAAAGCGTCCTTACTTCTTAGGATAGTGGCAAAGATTAAATAAGGTAGTGCATGCAAAACACTTAACTCCACGCCTGGTGAAATGGTCAGAGCACAATATACTGTATTCCTATAAAAATGGAGGCAGTCTTAGTAGTCGAAACTTGCAGGATATTGGGGAGCACGGATCTGATCTGCTGCACATAAGAAAGTGGCAGCTGGAGATGATGGAAAGACCTGGCCCAGGCAGTGCCTCCTGTGGCAATGAGGACCACCTAGAGGCAACTTGTAGAATGAGGTATAGGGTGACTTCATGATGTCAGCCCAGAGTTGGTGGCTAGGATGATGGGAAGGCTCTCCAAAATGGGAAGACATTTCACTTTTAAAGATGCTTTCCATGTCATATAAAAGCAAGGTCATGATACAAAGCGCAGAGCATAACCAAGAAAACCTAAAGGAAGAACAAAGCCAAAGAATTTATATGAGCAGATATCAAGGCTTATCATAAAGCCACAGTAATTAAGACAGTGTGACATTGATATAAGCAAAGAAACCAATGGAACAGAAAGAATCCATGAACAGACTCATACATGTATAAGCACTTGATTTATGAAAAAGGTAGCACCACAGAATACTGGGGAAAGAACCATCTTATCAACAGATGGTGCTGGGCCAAATGGACACCGGACTTGAAAAACAAGAATAAAATTCAACCCCCATCACGTACCATAGCCAAAAAAATAAATAATTAATTAAAAATACTTCGGAATTGTCCGTAGTTTAAATATAAAAGCTTCTTAGAAGATAATATAGAGGAGTCCCCAGTAAGACCACCATGAATGTGCTTCATCTCTGAAGCTCAGCAGCACTGGACCTCTTTAGACTTAGATGAAAGACTGATGGAAATACTGGGTGCTTTAGGATAGAGAGGGGAAGAGGAATGAGTGGGTGGAAAAGGAAAATAGAGGAGAATACCTTCTTGACCTTGAGGTAGGCAAATACTACTAAATAGAACACAAAAGTACTAGCCACGAAGAATATTTATAAATTAAATTCCTTTAAATTTTTTTTACCATTAAGAAGGTTAAAAAAAGGACAAGTTACAACAAGAAAAGACACAGCACAAAAAACCAAAAAAAGGAATCACATTCTGAATAAAGAACTCCTGCAAAAGAAGACATAGCCCGGTTGAAAACACATAGGCAAAAAGATCTCAATAGGCACCTCATGAAAATAAAATGGTCAAGGAACACATGAAAAGGTGTTCACTCTCGTCAGTCATCAGGGAAATACAAAGATATTGAGATGTTACTGAACACCCACAAACACAAATTAACACAATATACTAAAGGTTGGCGAGGAGAGGGAGCAACAGGGATGCATTGATGGAGAGAATTTAACAGGGTACAGTCATTTGGGACAAAATTCAGCATTATCTATTAAACCTAAACAGAGTGTGTGTAAAATCTGTCAAGTCCATTCCTGGGCATGCATCTGGCAGAAATGAAAACATATATTCCTCAAAGACATGCACTGCAGCAATATTCACCATATCCCCAGATAGAAACAACCCAAATGTCCACCAGAAGTAGAGCCTATGTATTAATGGTGGCATATTCATAGGGTAGAATACAGGGTGCAATGAAAATGGATCAACCACTGCTACCTACGATCTTGATGAGTCTCTCAATATAACGTGGAATGAAAGAAGCCAGTTACAAAAGAACACATGTTGGTCTGATTCCATTCATATAAAGTTCAAAATCAAGCAAAATTAATCTGTGGTGTCACAATTCACCTGGTGGTCCCTTTCAGGAGGAAGGAGGAAGCAGAAGTGAGGCGCGAGGACAGAGCACTGGGTGTTGGTAACATTCCATTTCTTGACCTGGGTGATCTGGACCTGGGTGTGTTGACTTTGCAAGAATTCATCAATAGTTCCCTCAAGAGATTCCATGCTCTTTTTTCATACAGTATGCTCCACTTAAAGGAAAAAAAGTTTAAATAAATGAATGCTCCTTTAAATAAGTGATGTGTTTCTCCCTCCCTGCTTCTGACACTGCTACCCCATCCAAATTTCCCAGGTACGTAAACTTGTTCTCACCAAATGTGTCAGTCAAAATGAATAATAATAATAATAATGGATTTCAACAGACTTTTTTTTTCCATTCACTTGTTTTTGGTACTGGGGATTGAACCCAGGAACACTTAACCACTGATTCACTTACTAGTCTCCCTTGCTAAGTTCTGAGGCTGGCTTTGAACTTGTGATCCTCCTGCCTCAGGTCCCAAACCACTGGGATTACAGGCAGGTGCCACCATCAACAGATTTCTTTTTTAATCTAAAAATTCAATGTCTTCCTTGTAAAATCATTTTTAAAAAATCTTTTTTTTTTTTTTTCAAATTAAACCATTAAACCTTCCTCCTTCCCTTCATGGTTAAGGAAACTGGAATGGTAGGTTCAAGATCTATTCTGATCGTGGGATCAGAGGGTGCAGAGAATTCAAAATCTACTCACTCATTTGATGAACATTTATTAAACACCTACTGTATCTTGGGCAGTATTCTAGGCACTGTCGATACAGAGGTGAACAAAAGAGAAAAAGACCCTGTTCTCATGGAATTTATAGTAGAGATAGGAAATACACTTATTGCAAATATTTTTAAATTTGGAGATTTTTGTTTTAAAAGACTATTTCTAGCTGAGGACAGACTGTCTGTCCCAGGGCTGGCTGATTCTTAGAGACAATAAAGGACCCAGCCAGGAACATGTCTTTGATACGTGAACCAAGAAATCCAGAGCTACACCTCCTCTATTTGGCCCAGACACCCCAAAAGACAATATCCTTAGTCATCCCAGGACCAGGTACCAGGCAACTGGGGTCCACTCCAATGAGCTTGGAGCCTACAAAAAAATTATTCAGCCTGGCCAACCCTGAACTGTGGACCCTGCCCTGCCTTGGTTTTCCCATGGGAACCCCAACAAAGGCTCTGGTTTCCTGCTTCCCCTTGCTGCCGACCACCCTGGTGCTTTACTATGTGGCCCTGTTTGTTATGCTGTGCCTCTTGCCTCTAAGTCCTGTGAGGTTAATAAATCTGTTTTCCTGGACCTCTCCTGTGTCTCTTCTTGTGTCCACACCTGACCAACGGTCACATGAAAGAATACACAGCATACACAGCGGAACTAGCCAATGCCAGGGGGAGTCCTCCTGGTGGCAAGGGACAGCAGATTCCAGGGGCAAGGCTTTGCTGTTGTATGGAGGGTGTCAGGAAAGGCCTCACCCAGCAGCAAGAAACCTGAAGGAAAGGAGGGGTTGATTGTGTGAGAATCTGGAGAAGAGCCAGGAGCCAGTGTGGTGGGAAGATGGAAGCCAAGGCCAGATCAGCGGGAGGGGAAGTCAGAGAGGGAATGGCGCCAGCCCATCATAGGAGCCTGGAGGCCACAGTCAGGGTTTGGCTTTTCCTCTGAGGATTATGGGAGGCACAGGAGGGTTTTTTTTTGAATGGAAAGAATGAAACAATCTGACTAAAATTTAAGAGTCACATAGGCAGCATGGTAAGAAGACACAGAACAGGAGTCGGTGCAGAAGAAGACCATTAGGACCTCACGACAGTGGTACAGGCGAGAGGTAGTGGTGTCTCCAACCAGGGCAATCGCAGCGGAGATGGTGAGAACCCATACATTGTGCGGCAGAGACAAACAGGATGTGCCATCTGGAGGTGGCTTGTGAGACAAAGAGAGGAGGCAACTGGAGGAATGGAATTCTTGTCAACTGAGCGTGGGTAGAGGAGGTGTGGATGGAAGGTTCCAGGCGCTGTTTGCACTTGCTAGGGTGAGATGTCTATTAGATATTCCAAATGGAGATGATAAGGAGGTAGTTGGACATAATCAGGCTGACTTCAAAAGAGAAGTCAGGACTGTAGATATAAATTTGGGTGTTGGTGTTTAAAGACATAAGGCTGGATGAGATCACCTTGGGAGAGGATATAGACAGAAAAGAGAAGTCATCCAAGGAAGGGCCCTCTGAGATCAGCCCTGCCCTAGATCTGTCTTCCGCTGCAGGAAGAGGATAGCCTCATCTTGGAGGAATGGGCCCATTGGGTTTTGTGCCAGATGACTGATTAGTTACAGGTGTGAAGACAGTGAAACAACACCGGGTCCTGGAAACTGGACCTCCGTGGAGACCCCCCTTCTGTAGAAATGAGCAAGCATCCTCAATCAGTATCCCCTGCTCTCTCCATTCCCACTCAGGTAGGATTTGAACTAGCAACTTGGAGTGCCCATCATAGAACTGGCTCTCCAAGCACGCACAGTCTCCCTCCTTCCCAGTGTTCTTTGCAACTCTGAGTCCAGCCCAGGGCAGTCTGCTCCTCTGCAAGAGTGCAGCCCCTGGGCAAGTAGGGCATCCTTTCCACACTGGGCCAGAGACCCAGGGCTGGAGGACAGTAGCCCTCAAGACAGCAAGGGCCTGGCTAGGGGCTGTCCCACACATTTTACTCATTAGCTGAAAATCTCTCCTAACATTTTTCCATTCTCCTTATAATGAATCATCAAATGAGCAGGATCCATGCTGGGAAGTTAATAAAAACCATGCATGATTTTATGATTTAAGCAAAGAGAAGAGGAGGCTGAGGCCGCGAAAGGGTTGCAGTCAGAAATCCTCCCCACCACTGATCTTTATCTCTACAACCAGATTACAAGGGAACACAGGGGAAGAAGCCCTTGAAACGTTTCCCAGTTGTCTCCCTTCCTTTCTGTCACCACTTGGGCTCGCCAGGATGTGTCCGAGGGAATCTCAGTCACTGAAAGCACCCACAAAGGGGGAGAGACATTGGAGAAATGAGAGCAGGACTAATGTTTCTTGCCCTGCACGTTCCAGCAGCCCAGCCCACCTTCCAGAGACCTAAGTTGCCATTCTTTGCAATGATTCTTCCACATACTGGACATCCCTACCCACTCCCTTCCACTGCCGGCTTGATCCTGTTCTTCTGCTCTTTCTCTTTGTGGTAAATGAGTAATGAGCAATGATACCATGGTCTTCAAAGCCTTGGTTGGCTGGTATCTATCTGAAGCCTTCCTTCACTCCCTCCCTCCTCCCATCTTCACCAGACACTCTAGTTTGCTTAACCTCTTAGCAGGGAAAATGGTCTAAGGATCTCACCTCTGAAAGCCAGGGTAGTGTTTATGCAGCCAGGGCCCACCTGTTTCAGGATGAATCTCCTCTGGGACCATCATGATATACAGCAATTAAAAAACGGGCAGTTTGAGATCCCTGGAGAGTTGGAAAGACACAGATCCTTTCTCTTACTTTCAACCAGGGCCCCAGAACACAAACGTGATTTACAATTCACTCTCTGCTTCTTGCAGCTGGTGAGATGACTATGGTATCTGCTGTAACTAAACCCTGCAGGCCGACCGTGATGGGAGTCAGCAGAAATGGCTCCTTTCCTGGTCCCCTCTCCTGATGCTTCCTGTAGGACTTCAGGGACTCTTCAGCAGGACCCACAAAGGGAAGTATTAAAAACAAGCTTTAGTGCTCGATAAAAATTTAGTGGAGACATTGATAGTTCTAAGTGCCTTTTCTGCTCCAAAGATTTGACTCATCCATTGAAGACAGGAAGCTTACCCGAGCAAGATTTTCATTCATTCATTTATTCCACACCTTTTTATCGATTCACGACTGTGTCCCAGGTTTGGTGCCGCATGCATCAGATAAAATAGCGAGCAAACAGCGGATCTTACAGTAAAGGCAGTGGGAAAGGCAAAGAAATAAACAAACAAATCCATCAGATCATGACACATTTTAAATAAGAGCTATGAGATATTTGTGGGCTGCTAGCCCAGAGGGTGAGGTTTAATAAACTGGAGGCTAAACATAGAAATAGGAGCAAGTTGCATTTTTTTATGACTTACTTTTATATGTAACTTAGGAAATGTTTTTTGGAGACTCACAGCAGGATTTTAAAATGGAATTGCTGGCCCCTGAGCTAGGACAGCAATAATACCCATGATCTCATGAAGACAGATCACATCCCCCAAAATGCCTTTCAAATGATGTGGGTTGCCTCTATGAGGGAAATAAAGGAACACCCCGATCGCCTCTGTGTTGGGCACCACTGCTCCACCCGCCAGCGGTCCTCTGCCTGCTCTGTCACCTTTTCATTTTCTTGTATGTTGTCTAGGGAGTTCTGTGTGATACTGGCCTTGGGGGAGGGGTCTAAAGCTCACCATTGGGCGCTTGTTTGGGGGAAAAGTGGATCAAGTCACCTCCTTGAGATGAAGGATAGAGGTCCAGAGGAAGCGATGTGGGTTGATGCTTGTCCTCCCTAAGTTGCTTGAAGTAAGAAGAGGAAGAGAATGAAGTGTCTGTTGGGCCTATGATTGTCAGTTTGTCTTAATAGAACCCCAAGCCACAAATCCTCTTGGGTGGTAACCCAGACAAGTAGCCCTAGTGGCGCTCCCCTAAGCTTCCCAATGGGACCTCCCCATGGTCAGTCCTCAGTTTGACAAAGGCCCCTTCAAAGACTTCATCTAAACCTGACTTCCTTTTAGATCAACAGCAAGCATATATCATCCCCGAGCTGATCTTGTGATAAATCAGGGCAAGAAAGTCAAACTAAAACTCTCCTGTATTACAGTAGGAAGATGGTCTCTAAAAGTACCATCTTTTTCCTCTTTTTTCTGGTCCTTAAAACTGTCCCACCAGCCCAAACCACATCCCTACTCCTACTTGTCCATAGATTGCAACCCCCTGATGCTTAGATGATTTGATCATGACCCCAGTGTCTGGTTCTCAATCTGCTTCCATTTGAATTCCACCCCGCCTGGTTCTCCAGCCTCAGTCGCCAGGCCTTCTCCGTCCCTTCCAGATCTGCCGTGCCTCTGTGACTCACTTTCCTTTGCTTTCCGTCCTCCCCTTAGCTCTCAGGTTAAGCTCTACACCCTTGCTTGACCCAGGCTGACTCAAA